TATAAAGATAAGATATAATATAAGAATAGAAATTATAAAAGTAAAGGTAAATATTAAAGGATTAAATTATATATTAATTAAAAGATACAACTCTGTTCTAGTCTCTTAAACTATTGAGAACTTAAAACTTTTTGGATTCCCCTTTCCAGATCAAGGAAGACTCATATTTATATTCCTTTGATTTGCTGCACGCAATGATCTACCAAATTAATGATTTACCAATTTTAGCAAGAGGTAATTAACCTGGTGAGCCACCTGTTACATGATCTTCGATTAACATAAATTATAAATAAATAATAAGTACATTAAATAATAATATAATAAAAATTAATATTCTACACCATAGTAAATTATATTATGTGATATATCTTTACCCAAAAAATAACTAATAATTAATTACTCATTCTTCAGTAATAAATGTAAATATTTATAACCCACGTTGAAGGATTCTCTCTGAGATAATTAATAATTGCAGAAATACGATCCGTTTTATTTGATATATGACTCAAATAGTAGTCTCTAAAGGATCTGATTATAGCTATTTCATTTTTTCGACCAGTAAAGATTGGAATAAGTGGAAGTAAATCAGAATCAGAGAATTCATCATCTGAATCAGTATCCAGATATTCGATTTTAATTTTAGAATTAAGTTTTTTTATTACTTCTTCGTTAATCCCTGTACACCTCTCCAAACTAAGATATTTCAAATTAGTACAGTTGCGGGCTATTTCCTCAACAGCTTTATTACCAATCGAACAATCACCAAGCTCAAGATGTCTAAGTTTTGGGCATGAGCGAACAATTTCAGTAATACATCGATTAGTAACGCATATACATGAATTAAGACTCAGATGCTGTAGTTTCAGAGAAAATCTCGCAATTTCTATAATTGGTATGTTAGAAAGACCATCACTTCTATCAAGGATAAGAGTGTGTATATCTGGGTATGAGCGTAGAATCGTACTAATTAATGCATCTGAGATTTTTAAACCTTCCAATTTGAGATATACCATCTTGGAGCAATAGGTCGGCTTTATCTTTCCACACATAACTTTTTTTAAGTTTATCAATTACCAAGTAAGGGCTCGAGACATCTTTCGACCATACCTACCCCTGTGATAATCTTCTTCTGTAAAAAACTCAATGCGTCACCATAGAATAGGAGCACCGCAGTGATACCAAAGGCGGTTAACAAATAAAGTAGGATAGAGAGATCGATCGATTTCTAAAAAATATAAGATCTGTTCTAGTAATTCTGGTAAATCAAAAATATTTAGACCCAAAGGGTTATGATTCTTTGAATCACCTAACGGCCCGCTCCATGATAGTTGCACCATTTTCAAGTAATTTATAATATATCTTTAATCAGAAAAAAGATACATGTTCGGATAATTACGCATTCTCTTACTTATCTGGCAAGTCTTTCCAATGTGCTTAACCTCTTTACTAGCTCATCCAATAGAAGCTCTAATCCGCATCTTCTGGCTTCCATCTGGTTATTAGGTGACAATTCACGAAGAAAGAAATATCTAAGCTATTCATTGTATTCGGCTAATTTACCACATTTTTCTACTTTTGCAAAATACTCCATTACTGATTCATTTCCTTACTCCAACTCCCCAAATCGGAATTTTTGAATATCAGTAGGTCCAGTTGAGATAAATTTTAAATGTTCAATTATTTTATTTATAGGCTCCTTAATCTCAAATCAGACCACATTTATTTGATTATCTGGTGATAAATCGTTGATAAAATTTTCTTTGCCTGTGGCAGTTACTTCGTGACTAATCTTTTCATCATCCATACCTAACCCTAGTGATAATTTTATTCGTTTGAAGTATCCACCCACAGACTTATCGAGTTGTATAGGCAGTGGAATATCTTTAGTTTTTTCAGGTTCTGAAATTGGAGAGCTCAGATATGATTCTCGCATTGTTTATTTTCGTAAATATATATATATAATGTATTTTTTTTACTTCGTATTAATAATAATTTAACATTTACAATGACCGAGAATAATAACAATAGCAGAGATAGATCAAAAAATATATACCAAGGCACTAGTCCCGTTATTAAAATCGAATATTATGAAGAATTGGCCAACCTTACGCAAATGCAATTAAAATCACATGTGGTTAATATCAATGGCAAAGATATAGAAAGCATTCTCGATTTGAGCGGACAATGTCAGGTTATCACCTGTGAAAAAGCAAAAGAGCTGAGTTTGGAAATGGATAGTGTAAAGCCGCATAAAAGGATACCCAGGACCAAAGGGGTAACTCTAAAGAGTCATATTACTGATAGAACGGTATCTGGTATTGTTAAGCAAGTATTGGATAAAAAAATTCAGATTTCTTTTTACCAATTACTGAAGATAGTGAAATCTGAGATCCGACAAGAAATTGTGAACTCGATAGCAAATCCAAACATTTCTTGAAGAAAATGGTGTAAGGTGAAAAAAAAGTCCGTTCTTAATTATTCCTTAGATGAGGATATAGAGGAGCTCTGGATAGAATCCGAATTCGATAATGAATCTAGTTCTAATAGCGAGATGGATGCACATACGACAAAAGCAAAGAAGCGTGGTTACTCTTCATCATAGAGACGAAATCTCACAAGGTTTTTAGTATTTACACAATTAATTTTATTATTATTATATAGAATTCTCAAGTTTTCACAAATACAATATGAATCAAATTTTTGATTTTAAAGTAATGAAAGATGCTGTTACAGAATGAAAATATAATGATAAAATAATATTAAAAACATCTGCAATAATTTATAATAACCCTTAAGATAATA